ACTCAAGAGGCTGAGGCAGGAGAATCACTTGAACCCGGGAGGCGGAGGTTGCAGTGAGCTGTGATTGTGCCACTGCACTCCAGCCTGGGTGACACAGTGAGACTCCATCTCAAAAAAAAAAAAAAAAAAGTGCTTTGATGTTGGTGGTCATTGGATCTCATAGAAATTTCAGGGGCCAAGCTTTCATCACCTGGCCAAGTGCGTGTGTGTGTATGTGTGTGTGTGTGTGTGTACTTTTTGTTTGGTTTGTTTTTTGCTACCGGTGCTACCAGATGTAACACTTTAATGACTCTTTGTGGAACACCAGGGACCACTGTTCATCAACCTCCTGGGGTAGGAAGAGTGGAAGGAATGAGTGGCTCAGAGCTTAGGACAGGTCTCTGAAGGGAGGAAGGGTTAATAACATCACATTACTAAATCGTTGCAAACTAGAAACATTTAAGAGTAATTGCTGATGTCATTTTATTTACAAATGTGTGTCAAATCCTTAATGATGGTGTCATCTCAGACTACAAAAGATAATGAAAAAAGAGAAAGAAGACTTGAAATTTGTGTTTGGGATGTTTTCCAGGTTATCCAAATAAGAAAGTCAGTTCTACCCGGTCTCAAAACTACGGAACTTATGTTACATGTCATAAAGTCTTACAAATGAGTACTTATGTTATGCTAGTTTTTCTTCTCTTTTCCTATTTTTTAAAGAACAAAGACATTCGTCTCGCCCAGCAGACATCTAAATTATAAAGTAAATGGAACTATTGTTCTTTGCAATGCATTAGCAATGTTTCTTATTTAGAGTTGACAAGTATTTGTCCTTTCCCTGTGCTGACATATAAGAATTGGACTGGGCTGGGCGTGGCGGCTCCCGTCTGTAATCCCAGCACTTTGGGAGGCCGAGACAGGTGAATGACTTGAGCCTAGGAGTTCGAGACTAGCCTGGACAACATGGTAAAACCCTGTCTCTACAAAAAATACAAAACTTAACCAAGCATGTTGGTGCACACCTATAGTCCCAGCTACTTGGGAGGCTGAAGTAGGAAGATCACCTGAGCCCGGCAAGGTCAAAGCTTCAGTGAGCTGAGACTGTGTCACTGCACTGCAGCCTGGGAAAGAGTGAGACCCTGTCTCAAAAAAAAAGAAAAAGAAAAGGTGGACTGTCTTGCAGCACAAGTGAGCCTTGTTTAAGAGGCTAGTTGATAAAGAAGGGGAAGAAGCAGCTTTCAGCCCCAAAAAGTCTTCACTGGCTTAGTAGCTTGGGCCATAATTAAAGCCATCCCACCTTTACAGTTTATGTAGATTTGATACATGTATACATATTTTATATATGGATATGTGTATGTGTTCTTTTTCTGGATACCAGATAAACAAGATATATAGATACAGATAGATATCCAAAATTATCAACCCGAGGGTACTGTTGAAGATTTATTTATTTATTTATTTATTTATTTATTTTGAGACAGAGTCTCACTCTGTCGCCCAGGCTGGAGTGCAGCGGCATGATCTTGGCTCACTGCAAGCTC